CGCCTACTATGTACCAAAACTCAGAGCCTTTGTGACTTCTGGTCGGTAATACGGTGTAGTTTTTGAAAATCCTCCAGAGTGAGAACTTTGCTTAGGTCCTGCCTGAGTCTAGATTTAATGTCTATAAACTGAAATAGCTTACGCCTCTCAATTCGTAAGTTTTTTATAATTTCTGGATCGAGAAGTGATAAAATATTTCGTTAACTGTGTCCGAATAGAACTTCCCAATTAAGTTCCAGAACCCAGGGGCGACAGCATAACGTTTTCAACAATTCAACGAGGTAAAAAGCAAGATTGAATTATAAGTACCAATTTAGGCACAGTAATTTAACCTTCATATAAATTTAGTGGCAATTCATCATGTGAAGAAAATGCTGTGTGATTAAGAGAAGATTATTAAAAGTTCAATATATGGCTTTAGGAAAGAAATCGAATAATTGCATTCTACCTGAAACAGACGAAGAAAGTTAGCAACCAATCTATTCTCAACCTCAGGATCTAAGGTGTTCCCAAGTGAAGATTTTGAGGCAGCGGCTGCTGCTGCCACAGCCGACCTACGCTTTGCTAAGGCTGTTGCTACTTCAAAGAGGGAAAGATTAGGTCCGGCCGCTGATGAAGTCAGCAAGGCTGACACTGCCGATGAGACCTGACCAGAAGATTGGCTGAAGGCGGAGGGCGGCTGGGCTATTGATCCAGTAGGGGCCGAAGCGGTGGAAGGGACGACAGTGACGGCAGCGATAGCCGATGGAGCTGAAGACCCGATAGTTCCAGCTGGGGATTCAGCAACAAGCTCGGGTGGTGAGTGAGAACGAGCAAGGTCTCTGCATCGATGTACCAAACAACGCATTCCTGGATCGGTTAAGTTATGAAATAGACCGAGTTTCTGCGTCGACAAGCAGGTGAGCAGCTAAATTTAAAAGAAATATTAAAGTAGTGAAATAGAAGTATCATCTCGCTCAAAGAAGACTGGGGAAATATTAATAGTCATATAGAGATAATAATACGCGAAGTTGACTAATCAAAATAGGCTAAGCTTTTTTGAATAGTTTTAGTCCAGAACTTCGCTCAAATAAAACTAGAGGAACAATAAATCCGCGAAAGCGTAAATAAAAAAAGCTTAGAATGTAAAGAAATCTGTGCTTTTAAAGTGAAATCGAATCTGGGAATTTTAGCTACACT